CCCATAAGATAACACCAAGACTACTTTTTTTTTTTTTTGCCTTAGGAAATGTTTAAATGGGCAAAGTAACAGAAAGGTTTGGGGTACGGATAGCTGAGAGGTTCTCTTAGGAGGATAAAGCCTTCAACCCTGGTGTTTCCAGCCTTAGCAATGATTTCTTAGGCTCAGATACCTCGCTTTAAGAGACCACACACAGACAGACAATGGACATTTCAAGATAAATGAACGAGGACTGGATACTGGAGAGTCTCCCTTGAATACATCACCTTGTGCAAGGGGCCCAAACCTTGCATGATTTGGACTAAGGTAAAAGAGCTCATGCGGAGATGGAATAGACTAGAAGTCAAGTGGCTGGACGACCAGAATGAAAGACCATGTACATGTTCAACTCTGTCTGAGGAGAAAGATTTATAATCAGCACACACATAGAACCTTTCTCTCTGGCAAAACAATACGAATGATACCAAAACTGTTCACTTCATGTTTTATTAAACGGTTTCACATACATAACTTGATCCTTAGATGGCAATTTCATGAAAGAGCATAATATAGCAGAGGTTGAGATTTATCCCAGAATCTGTGATTTTTAAGTGATAGAACAACCCTTCATAAATAATCTGGAATGTCTGAGTCTTATGTGGACTTTTAAAATTTCATTTAAATTATGCTATGTTTGATATGTATACACAGAACATTTCATAGGCCTGACACCCTTATCTATGATATATAGAGAGATGTTACTCTTTGGGCAAATTACAACCATAAGGATTTTAAACGTAAGTAATACAGTGTATATTCAAGCAAAACATTTTAAATTTCAAGGAGTTGAAGGACATTAAAAGCTTAAGATAATTTAAACACTGCATGAGCTGAGTCTTTCTGGATTTTGCCTTTTATTAGCTCGAGAGTGCCAGTCTGTCCCTATCCCCTTCCCATCTTCAAGTTTAGAGTTTATAACTAAATAAAAAATGGAATTAAGGTCTTCTGCTTTGACTGAGATAACCAAAATGAATTAATAGGGGCCAGATTTATTCTTCCGCCTGACACAGCAAGAAAGCTGGCCCACATACATGCTTTCAGATAGTGGACATTGGCTGGGCCAGCTGGTGGCATGATGGTTAAGGGAGGCTGGATATGACATGGTCGACTGCACAGTTCAAGTCCCTGGCTTGGAGAAGACACTGGGTGTGTAGGCATGCATGCCTAAAGTCGCCAGTGGAGAATGGAGGAGGGGGGATTAAGGCATAGCCATCCATCTTCCCAGGGGGGCAATTTCTCACTTTTCTATATCTCTCTGTTTCCAGCAAACATATATACCCTATAGCAAAACCTAAAAATAAAATTAAAAAAATTAAAGAAAATAAAAAAGATAGTGGACACTGGCAGCATAGAGCATCATCCCTTCAGAAGGAAGAACAAGTGAGATGAACTCTCACACAAATGCCCCAGCTTACTATCTGAAGTTTTCAGGCTACAGGGTGTGGAGGGAGACCCAGCTAAAGCTTATGAGGAGACAGCTGGAAATTCAGAGGTCAAGAGCTTAGAATTCACAGAGTACATAGTACACACAATGCCAGCGACTGCAGAGTCCCTGCAACTTCTCAGAAAAGTACTAACCATCAGATGTGTGTGAGGAAGTGCTGAACTTCTTCAAACGAACAGAGAGAGCATGGATGGGGGTTCATGCAAGGATGATATAAGTTTGCATTCCCACTAGCTACAGTATAAAACCTCATAATCCAGATAGTATCAGAGAACGCTCAAAAAATTGCACTGCTTGAGTACTGGGGCCACATTAGTTCTGCAGTAAACAATTGCTACGGTATCATGTAAGAAACTTAAAAAAAAAAAAAAGCTTGGAAAGATCAAACTGTTTTCAAGTACTTTCAACTAATTTACTGCATTCTTTGACAAAGCTTGCATTTATAAAATGCAAAAATATTCAGCACTTAACAAGACACAACTCACACTACCTGGAATACAAATGAAAGTCACTACACATGGAAAGAAAGCTAAGTGAGAAGAACAATTAATCGAAAGATGCATACTCAAAAATGACATTATGGATATTAAAAATAAGGGTACAAATTCTCCCCACATTGATATACATGTTTAACACAAGCTTATCAAAATCATAACATGATTTTCTTTCCTTTTCTTTTTTCTCATAGATATAGACAAGCTTTTTCTAGAAGGTATATGGAAAGGAAACGGACACAGTAAAACAATTTTGACACACAAAGCATTTTCTAAAGAAACTGAATGATTTGGGAGGACTTACACTATCTGACTTCGAGACTTTGAATTACTCTAGTAATTAAGACTGTGTGGTATCAGTTGAAAGATGAACAGATCTATGGAACAGAAGAGAGAACTCAGAAACACTAACAGTAAAAGTCAGCTATTTTTGACAGAAGTACAAAAATAACAATGAAAGGAAGGGGTTTCTATTTATTTATTTTTAACCATATCATGCTGGTTCACTATTAACATGCATGTAAAAATTGATTAATATCAGGGGGCCGGCAGGTGGCGTGGTGGTTAAAGGTACTGGACTCCCACATGGCCAACCACGGTTCAAGTATTGGACCTGGTGGCTTGCTTTCTCACTTCCTCTCTGTCTCTCTCTGATCAAACTGAAAAATAATAATGATATTAATAATAAATAAAGTTAAATAAAATAATTCTTTAAAAAATTGATTAATATCATAGGTCACTGAGAAAATGCAAACTAGGCCCAGCTGCTGTGGCACAGGTAGAACACTGCTATGTGATACTGGAGCCATATGGGAAGACCTTGGATTCAGATCATGGGCCAACCTGAATATGGCTGGCTGTCCCATTATTCTGACTGCCTGAAAGGCTGGGGGTGAGGGAGATTACAGCCAGTTGAGACCCTGTTAAGGGTAACTTCCTGCCCCCTCAAAATAAATATATAAAATTTTTAAAAATGCAAATTAAATCACAATGTAAAACCATTGTACATCTACCACAATGGACAATACTAAAAGATTAGTCATATTGAATGTTGGCAAGGACGTGGAACAATGGGAACTCCATACACTACTGGACAGAATGTAAAAAAGTACAACTATTCTGGAAAACAGCTGTGCTTTTTCTTGTAAAATTATACATATACCTACGTTATAAATCAACCATTCCACTCTTAAGAGGAATGACAACATAGGTATATAAAGTAACTTTTACTCAAATACTCATAGCAGTTTTATTTCTAAAAGCCCCATAATAGAACAACTTAAAAATCTAACAATAGTTGGGACCAGCAGATGGTGTAATGGCTACGTCACTGGACTCCCATGTAGTCAACTGCGGTTCAAGTCCTGGACCCAGTGGCTTAAACTCACTCCAGGCACATGTGCATGTGTGCCCAAGATCCTGAGAGGAGAATAAAGGAGACGGGATTGTGGTGTGACCCATCCCCCCAGAGGGTGATTTCTCGTTTTCTGTCTCTGTCTTTCTGGCGAGCGCATGCGCCCTATAGCAAAAACCTCTCCAAAGGAAAAAAAAAAAAATCTAACAACAGTGAATGGATAAGCACGTTGTGGTTACTCCATACAATGATACACTACTCAGCAATAAAACAAATGAACTATTGACATGTGCAACATGGATGACTCAGAGTCATTTTTTGAAAAAAATACAGGCAGATATTTTATGATTCTATTTACACAAAATATGGATGATGCATATTTCACCAAACTTAAAAGTTGTCATGGAGGCCAGCAGATGGCATGGTGGTTAAGGGTACTGGACTTCCACATGGCTGACCACAGTTCGAGTCCTGGATCAGGTGGCTTGTGTTCACTTTCTCTCTCTCTCTCTCTCACTCTGTCCCTCTTTGGTCAAGTTAAAATAAATAAGTAAAGTTAAATAAAATAATTCTTTAAAAAAAAGGTGTCATGAAGATCAAATAAGAGAGATTACCAACAAATATACTGGGCTATTGGAAAAGTCAGGATGCATTTTTGCATAGAAAAAAATGTAATTTTCCACCAATCCAACATTACACAAGTATATATTGTTGCTGAGAACACTTTCAATGAATATAATCTCATTTTTCAGTCATTATTTGACAAAGTATTCTTGGAACTAGATAAAAACCATCCTTATACCTAATATTTATGTGTTTATTATGTACTGATTTTAGGCTATTTATTTCATTTACACCACAACGATGACCCCATGAGATGGACAGTTACTACCATTTTGCAGATGAAACAGATCTAGACAGAGCAGCAAGTTGGCCTAATGAATAGGAAGCTCCACTGAATCTGAACACCTGGGTTTTACTATTGGCTCTTGAAGCTGTGGGAAAGCCTGTAACACTTTAACCTCTACTATCAAATACCAATAATAACTACTTAGCTTATTTCATAAAGCTCCTGTGATGATCAAGTGAGATAATGTGAATATAAACCAGAACTACGAATGTTACTCCGTCCTCAAAAACTACATAAACACAAATATCTTTGGAAAGGTAATTTAAGAAAAAGTAGTAGAAAAAATTAAATCAACATAAGCCCTTTCATGTATTCTCATAATCTTTACTTATGCTAAAATACTTAATTTAAGTGTATTTAAATGTTTAAATATCTAAGAGGTCTTTTAATACTTACATACAAGTGTGTACATTAATGTTTACCATTAAAGATGGTATTGTGCTCTATGGTGCTAAGTACTTTAATAATAAATACGTAAGTCAGTAAATTCTTATTTGTTAGTATTTTAATTATTGATCATTTATAATTTGACGGTAAAAAAATCCCTTTTTACAAAGACATTACATGTATATTAACAATCTCTTTTTGTATAGTTGTATGTGATTTTTATTTATTTTTTAAGAATTTATTTTATATATTCAATCACTGTACATCACTACAGTTTGCAAAATGAATATACCCAACATGAATACACTTTACATAAGCCCAGTTGGCGATATCATACACATTATCAACAGACAATCCTCCATTTCTGTGTTCTTAAAATGTCTTGCATCTCTATTTTTCTCCTTGATTCTTCTCACCCTCCCCCATCTCCCACCCTCCTCCTACATTGTCTCTACTATATGTAACCATTTTAACAGTCAATCTTGATTTATTCGTTTTGCCTTTCCGTTTCTCCTGGGAGCTTTGTAAGAATCCATGACTTCAGTTTTTCTAGCTCACGTTTGTTTAGCTCATGATAAACATTTGGAAAACTATGAAACTTTGTCCTCACTCCTAGAGATTTTAACATTGAGTTTGTCTCTTCACCCCAAGAATGAAGAACTAGCTCATCAGCAGTACCATGACACTGAAATAATTCAGGAAGTTCACCATCACTTTTCTGAAGAGCCTAGGAAAAAATATAAAGATGGAAAAGTTTAAGAAATTCCATTTAAGAAAGTAATTTTTAGAAATCACAGAAAGCATAAAGATATTATTTTTACCAAATCTTCAATAACTAAAGAAAAAAGAGGTGGTGCTGTCCGAAGTATATACATGGGCGAGTCTTGGGGCATAGCTGGTACAAATATGATTTGAGCTGTGGTTGTATGCATTTGCTCTATAGACGACTGTCTCGGAAATGACCAAAACATTTCCTAAAGAAACTGGGTGATACAGAAGACAGATCTCTTCCTAAGTAGTAGAAGGAGGGAGGCTACAGATCTAAGGTAGAGTGTCAAAGGGAAAATTACATTCTTGTTTTCATTTCTATGTTTGCTTTATTATTTCTACTTCGGGAAATAAACCTGTGATAATATAATGTATTATGTTCCTAAGTTAGGATTTTAGTTACAAGTAAGTATCAACTATGTAACTGGTTTTCTTCATGACATCATAATCTTCTATATTTTTAATATGTATAAAGGACATACACATCATACATATATATCATATATATCCTGTGATACAGACAGATATGTGTGATAACATATATGTAAGTGTATACATATACATGTGTACATATATGTATATACTTATCTTATCCTTTCCTCTTTGATACTCTGTTTAAAGACATTCTTTGTACAGATCATTTCCTAAACATTAGTGATTAGCTGGAATTAAGATGACTCATTTGGCCAAGAATTCTAGGAATGCTCAACTTATTAAACATCAGTTTTTGCAAAAAATGGTGCATCAATGCCTTATAATGATCAATTTTGTTTTAGTTGTAACATATGTATGTTTCATGTTATTTTCAGTTTTCTTTTAAAATCTGGAACTTACCTGGTAAACAGCAGATGCTTTATTTAGAAAACTAGAAAGAGCAAAAACTCCTGCCACATTTTGATGATTTCTATACGCCAAATGCATTGCCATGCATCCTCCCATAGAAAATCCTCCTAAAAGAAGCAAAGACATACTTATGAGAAAAAGCTGAACACACGCAATTAACTTAGAACAAGCAATATCTATGACAATCACCCATCAACATTGTAAAAATATTTATAGACCTTAAAGACATACAGTACTAAACAGAAATTTAGTTTGCTTTAGGTTTTAATTAAAAAAAAAAAAGTCCTGCTATTAGTAAACAATCCTATTTAATCTGTCATCACTGATAAAAGGATTTGTTATAAAAGGAGTTAGAATTGAGCAAAAAAAATCACATTCACCATGTAAAAATATTTATCATAATCAAAATACATGTCTTAGTATAAAGGTTATTTATTTAAATGAATGTTTACATATAATTTGATTATACTTATGTAAATCCTCATATCACAACTACAATTTAGTAATAAGCATCTTTTTATTTGCCAAGTGAGACTCCATGAGGAACTATTTTTCCAGTTTCTGCCACATAATAGATGCTTAGTGACCTTTGAATTAGAAGCATGACCAATAATTTGGTAAGCTAGTTAAACTAATTTTAGATTACAATATCTTTTGGAAACTGAAGTATAATAAAAATTAAGCATCTATACCTGTATATACATTTAAAAAATAGATTAGAAAAAATCATTTATTTACTTGACAAACTTAGATGTCAAACACTGCAAGTCACTGGAGGCAAGCAGATGAAACGCTCAGGGGAATGAGATGAGGGAACACACACATCACAGAATGTGGGACAGGGCATCCCCCTTATGATCCCCCAAAGAAGATAGATATATTTAATTGCAGGTTTATGAATGAGCTTGGTGGCAAAGGGAACGCAAGTATCTTAAAACTGTTTGTAAAATTTATGTGCATAAAATTCCTCAAATGGCTAAAAGCTACTAGGCTACAATTTGTGTATCAATAAATCTTTGACTTGTCCCATTTAGACATGAAGAGCTTATCAAAAACAGGGTAAAGGACTAGCAGTTGACATAATGGCTATGTCGCTGGACTCCCATGTAGTTGACCGCGATTTGCGTCCCGGACCCGGTGGCTTAAACTCACACTGGGTGTGTGTGCATGCATGCCCAAGATCCAGGGCGGAGAATGGAGGAGAATGGATTGCGGCGTGGCCACCCCCCTGGGAGGTGATTTCTCGCTTTCTGTCTCTCTGTCTCTCTCTTTCTGGCGAGCACACGCGTCCTATAGCAAAAACCTCTCCATAAAGAAATGTAAAAAAATTAAAAAAAAACAAACGGTGCATATATCTAGTAACTACGCATTTATCATAATAATGCGGAATGACTATAAACACAGTGAAGTATCCCTAATCCAAAATTCCAAGGTCCAAATGCTCCAAAATCTGAACCTCACATGATGCCACAAGTAGAAAATTCTACACCTGACCTCCTGTGATGGGTCATAATCAAAATGCTGTAATACTAAAAGATTACATAAAATCACCTTCAGGCTATGTGTATGAGGTGTATATGAAACATACATTAATTTTGTGTTCAGACTTGGGTCCCATCCTTAAAATACCTCATTATGTATATACAAATATTCTAAAATCTGAAATATAATATTTTTGGTGCCAAGTATTTCAGATAATGGGTACTCAACCTGTCAAAAATCTGTTTCTCAGGAGGCCAGCAGATGGGGTAGTGGTTACGTCCCTGAATTCCCACATGGATGACTGTAGCTTGAGTCCCAGACTTGGGGGCTTGAACATCATGCCAGGCACACGTGCGTGCGTGTATGCCCAGGATGCCAAGAGAATGGAGGAGGAGGGACTGTGGTGTGGCCATCTGCCCTGGAGAGTAATTTCTCACTTTCCCTGTGTCTCTCTCTCTTTTCTCTCTCTCTCTCTCTCTGTCAAGTCCATGTGTCCTAAGGCAATATCCTCTAAAAACAAACAAACAAACAAAAACAAAAACAAAAATCCCTACTTCTCAAGTTAGTAATAAAAATCCACAGATCTCAGGACAGAATTCTAGTTTTCCTATCCGTTCACAGAACCAATCTTAGCAAATGCTCACTTCTTTCTTCTCTTTCACTCTCCCTTTATAAAACAAATTCCAGGTTGCTTAAAATCAAACACACTATTAACAACAAAATTACATCTCTAAAGTGGATGAAAAGGAGAGATGCATGAATGGGAGAGATGGAATTTGGGGGAAGTTTGAAAGAGAATAAAAGCCTTCTAGATCATGATACTGGGGAGAAGAGGAGCAGTAATTAAAGCTGCAAATGGCATTTCACAGTTTCTCTGTAGTAATTTTAAGTAATATTCTTTAACAGAAGGAACCAAAAACAAGCCATACTAGAATATTTCCCAGCACTGAATTCCCTGGTAGAATTTATTAGGTAGATCTTTATTAAATGTAAAACTCAAAATCAGACATTCTACACACAGCCACTTCTGCTACTGACTCTTTAATAAAAGTCTAGCAGGTAAAGAAATATTATGCATTAAAATATTGGGTGGTTGAAGTCATGACATATTTTTCGTATCCAAAAATGCATCATGACTTTCCTGACAACCCAATATAAAGATCATTGGAGCAGAAATGCTTGTGGTTTTATTCACCAAGTATCCCCTCATGCTTAGAAGAGTTCCTAGAACATAGAAAGTGGTCAATACATATTTTAAATATTTGTTTAGATATTTGAATAAATGAACTTAATGTAAATTATAATTTGATAAGGATATTTCTGCAAAGAAACACATTTATGGGACCAGCAGTTACTGTAATGGCTATGTCGCTGGACTTCCATGTAGTCTACCACGGTTCGAGTCCTGGACCCAGTGGCTTAAAATTCATGCTGGGCGCGTGTGCATGCGTGCCCAAGATCCTGAGGGGAGAATGGAGAAGGGATTGTGTCATGGCCATTCCCCTTGGGGGGCGATTTCTCACGTTCTGTCTCTCTGTCTCTGTCTGTCTGGAGAGCACATGCACCCTATAGCAAAAAAAAAAACCCCAAACAAACAAAAACAAAGAGACACATTTATCATCAGGAAATATACCTTTTTGGTGATTTGATATGATACAGAATAAAGCTTAGAGAATCTAGGCATGAATGACTAGTGTGCTCCAGGCTAAACACTCCTAATCTGAAGTATTTCTTAAAAATAAGCATTTTAGATTCAATACCAGACCCACTACCAAAATCTCACCACTAATGTCTAATTGTTAAGAGTCCTTAAACCATAAATGAGAAGTCTGAGAATCAATAGCTATGTGGCAAACAATTCAAAATTAAGCATCATGGGTAGAAACTAAAGTAAAATTATGGTCATAATTTAGACGGAATCCATATGCTACAGATACTAAGGCTGCAGAAGCCAAGAAGTAAAATATATTAAAAAAAATTTTTTTTGAGAAATTCAAAAGTTTAAATAATAATTTTTGCCAAATGTATCTAATGAATTTTTGAAACAGGACTAGTATGGCTAAGAAAATCAATTTTAAACTTAAATTTTCATTGAATGCAATTAAATTTTAAACTTAAATTTTAACTTGAATGCAAACAGCTTCATATAGGCTCGTGGCTACCATACTGGACAAGGAAGTTCTAGATCATCTAAGCCATAGCAGAGATGGAAAAAAGCTTCAAAGTCATAAATGGGGAAAAAAATAAAATTAATACTTCATAAAAAGGTAATCTGGGGGCTAAGATAAAGATCATTAAAAGATAAAATATGAATGAAATAGAGAAGTAGGCAAAACTTCGAACTAAAAAATGATTTAAAAACATACCTATCAAGAAAATTATGTGCCCCCAGCACTTCATTTTTATTGACCAGGAAACCCAGTCATTTTATGTGGTTTCAGGGAGCCATGATGGGGCCCGTCTAATCAAAAGAAAGAAAGAAAAGAAAACATTTACTCATACATGAAATATCATTATGAATACAAGTCAATGCATCCTGCAGACATTTAACCTCATGTTCAATTTTCATAAGTTGTAACAAAGAAAAATGTACTTATTGAAATCTTATTATTTTAAGATTGAATCTAGGGCTTTTACCATTTATAATCTTGTGAGGTAATCTGCAATGCCTTACTAGCTGTCTTTGACAATACAATCACCCTTAGCATGGGACACTACCATGAAAAGGAACTTTGTGCACGTTTATCCTAATAGAAAAAAAAAATTTAACACAAAGGACTAGTTATTTTAATTCAATTTTCCATCTGAGAGTTTAAAATCTAATATAAAATATACTGTTCAATAAGTAAACACTAAATAGAAAATTCATTGTAGGTAATGGTTATAATGGATATTTATAGTTACTGGCAAAGTATTTAAAATGCCAAGAGTTAACATTTAAACATACATTTAAGATTAACAAGGTGAATAAAACATGTCAAAAAATAATAAACCTGGCTTTATGAACTCTTTATATAAAATAAAACAGAAACAATCTATTTAAAAAAAAAAAAAACTATACTGGGAAAATTAAGATATGTGAAAACAAAATCCTAAGGGAAAAAAACACAAAGTTTGCAATCAACTGAATAGGATTTTTAAAATGTAATAAAATCTACCACCATACCAAATTTCTAAAGTTCTTTGATTTAATTTATACATCATTATAACTACTTTTCAGACTTAAAGTGTAATAGTCTGAAAAGATTTGGGAACACACAAATTACACTTATAATTTATTTGTATATTTCTCATAAAAATTTGCAGGATAAAGAAATATTTATTTTCCTCTCAACAGTTCTAAGCGTATAAAGTTCTGACAATTATTGTTGAGAAACTTAAGCTGTTTAATTAAAAATATATATGTGTGTGTAGGGTGTATGTTTGTATGTTCGAAGAAAGTAGAAAAGTGTTATCATTCTTAAGTGTAAACTTCCAGTAAGACTTGCGAAGAGAGTTATACAGATTCAGAAAAAGCCAGCCTAGAACTGAGAATTTTCAGTTATCCCTTTACTTGATTTTAATCTTCTAATTAAAAATAATACATTGATATACACCTACTGTGTCAAGTATTTCCAACACATAT